AAGCTCTGGCCTACCGTTCTAGGCCATGAGAACCCCAGAGTGGTTCCGCAGCGAGGATCGGGCTATGATAGCTAGAAAAGCAAGCATACGCAGTGCTGGTGTGGGAAGGATGGTCCGCAGGCCTGGACACGGACTCCGACTGCGAGCTCTGAGCGAACAGAGCGCCGCATCATTGGCCAGTTTTACGCCGCTCCTCCAAGACAAGCGGGGCAGGTCCACCCGTGTCAAGGGGACCAGCTTTGAGCTTGCCCCCGGTGCATCGTGTTGATTGTGACAGCCAGCGACAGACATGCAGACATTGTCTGCCGGCTTGGCTAGAAGAGCCAGCGGCAAAGGCACCAAGAAAGACCGACGCCGAGGGTCCCGCCATCAGCAACGCCGCTTTCATACGCTACAATGTAGCCTCCCCGGAAACATCGATCGCAGCCGCCTCTCCCGACACATGAGACAGCCCCAACCACAGCGCTACAGCGTTCACGAATGTCTCCCCAGTCTATCTGCAAATACACCATGGCTGACTTGGAAGAACACTTCTCTGAGTCCCATAAGAGCGCGAGTACCGGAAGTCATCCGAAGTCCCCGCCTTGAGGGGGAAGAGTGTGGGAGACGAGGGTGGAAGACGGTGGAGCGGAGTGCGCGTGGCAAGCGGTGGCCGAGGGGGCACGTGCTCGTGCCGGACAGAGCGTTGTGCGCGAGGCTGGGACCAGGTAGAAAAAATGGAGCAGGTCTGACACGGCGATCTTCGTAGTTTTACACCGGCGCTGTTTGGATCAGAACCGGTGGGACCGGCAAGCCCTGGACGTACCGGTCTAGGCCATGACAAACCGATAGTGGTTCCGATGCGAGACTCGGGCTGTGATAGCCAGTAACAGCTAGCCTACGCAGTGCTGGCGCGGGAACGACGATCCGCAGTCTTGGACACGGGCTCCGACTTTGAGCTCTGAGCGACCGGAGCGCGGCCCGATCGGGTAGCACTAACGTATTAAGCGGTCAACACAAAAATGGCGAATCCAACGTTGGGATCGGTCGGTATGCCTCTGCTTTTGGTTGTCTCCCAGGAATCCCACGGTTTATTTGAGCCGGTTGTTAACTAAAGCTAACAATGCCAGTCAAGGCCAAGTCTGTTGGAATTTTTGCGACTTGTCATACAGCAGAGCTCAGCAGGTGTCTCCTCGAGTCAAGTACCTAAAGGACTTAAAGGACGAACACCCCGAAATGGCGGTTGGGAAAAGGTAATGCAACGTGGTGGGTGACGGGGAGTGCGGGTATGATGTAAGAGAGTCATCTTCGAGGGCGGAGGAGAGGCAGCGGATGTTCGCTGGAAGGGAGGATAACTGCTGTCAGGAGGTGAAACACCCAGGACTCAATGCGGATTTACGACACTACAGAAAGGGACAAAAGATGTCTTGGGGTGAATCGCTTTCAAAAGAAAACGATTTGATATATTGCCAATGTGCCACGCTTACAATCAACCACACAATTTTTTACAGATTATGGTAAAATAATGCGCCGCCGGTAATACGGCCGGGTCGTATGCAAGTATGGCACGCGAAGAGCCCTCTCCAGGCGCTTGAGACCGGCCGGCCAGAAGTAAGCAGCCCATGGCAGCACCGCGAAGACCATCACCGCGAAGATTGCTGCTAGGCCTAACACACCATAACTTTCATCTGTACATTACACCATCACATAATCACCATCACTAGACACGGCACCGCGGGCCTCCTTGGTACGGGCTCTTGCCTTTCTGCGGTGCCGCAGCTCTCCTGAGCAAATAAATCATTACATTACAAGTGTAAATACATTTATGAATTTTTAGAGCGCAGCTCTTAGGCACCCGTTTCCGGCTTGAGCGGCGTCGCCGTCGGCGTCACCAAGGTCACCTCAAGGTCACGTGACCCCTCCCAACGTCACCCCAAGGTCACGTGACCCCCCTCCCCCCCAAAGTCACGCTACACCCCCACGAGGTCACGTGACACCCCCCCCCGAGGTCACGTGACCCCCTCCCCCCGAGGTGAGGTGACCCCCCAGAGCATATTAAAGAATGAGGGCAGGAGGAGGAGAAGGAGAAGGAGGAGGAGGGGGAGTAGGGGTCTACCCTCCCCTCAGTACCCTTCCCTCCTCCTCCTCAACAGCTGCGCTCCAATTCTGCGTTACAGGGCGTTGTAAACGGCTTTCACTTTTAGAGCGCAGCTCTTAGGCGCCCGTTTCCGGCTTGAGCAACATCGGCGTAACCAAGGTCACCCCAAGGTCACGAGACACCCAAGGTCATGTGACCCCCCAAGGTCACCCCAAGGTCACGTGACCCCCAGGTCACGTGACCCCCGATGTCACGTGACACCTCCCAAGGTCACCCCAAGGTCACGTGACCCCCAAGGTGACCCCCACAGGACCGCCAAGGTCACCGGTCACATGACCCCCAGGTCACGTGGCCTTTCCAAGGTCACGGGACCCCTCCCAAGGTCATCCCAAGGTCACGTGACCTCCAAGGTCACCCGAAGGTCACGTGCCCCCAGGTCATGTGATCCCCCAAGGTTATGTGACCCCGGAGGTCACGTGACCCCTCCCAAGGTCACCCCAAGGTCACTTGACCCCTCCCAAGGTCACCTCAAGATCACGTGACCCCCCAAGGTGACCCCCACGTGATCCCCCTAAGGTCACGTGACTCCCCTCCCCCGAAGTCACGTGACACCCCCCCCCCCCCGAGGTCACGTGACCCCCCCCCCCGAGGTCACGTGACCCCTCCACCCGAGGTCACGTGACCCCCTTGGAGCATATTAAAGAATGAGAGGAGGAGGAGGAGGGGTCTACCCCCCCCCTCAGTACCCTTCTTTCCTCCTCCTCCAGTGCTGCGCTCCAATTCGGTGCTAACGGCTTTCACTTTTAGAGCGCAGCTCTTAGGGCCCGTTCCCGGCTTGTGCGGCGTCGCCGTCGGCGTAACCAAGGTCACCCCAAGGTCACGTGACCCTCCAGGTCATCCTAAGGTCACGTGACCCCCAAGGTCACCGCGCGGTGACGTGACCACCAAGGTCATCCCAAGGTCACGTGACCCCAAGAAGTCACGTGACCCCCAAGATTACGTGATGAAGATGACGATGCGGATGCGTATGACGTCATCAGTGACGTCACTTATTACGTCACCGGCATCCAGATTGTCACCGTCATCATCACTGATGACGTCATCGGTATCTGCATCGTTATCGTCACTGATGACGTCATCAGTGACGTCACTGATGACGTCATCGGCATCGTCACGTGACCCCCCAAGGTCACGTGACCAACCCCCCCAGTACCCTTCCCTCCTCCTCAAGAGCTGCGCTCCTATTCAGCGTTACAGGGAGTTGTAAACGGCTTTCACTTTTAGAGCGCAGCTCTTAGGCACCCGTTTCCGGCTTGAGCGGCGTCGCCGTCGTTCTCGCCGTCGGCGTGACCAACGTCAACCCAAGGTCCCATGACCCCCAAGGTCACGTGACCCCCAGGTCCTGTAACCCCCGAGGTCACGTGACTCCCCCGAGGTCACGTGACCCCCCCCCCGATGACGTCCTCGTCACTGATGACGTCGCTGGCATCCACATCGTCATAGTCATCATCACCGATAACGTCATCAGTGACGTTACTCATGACGTCACCGGCATCTGCATCGTCATCGTCATCATCACTGATTACGTCATCAATGACGTCACTGATGACGTCACCGACATCCGCATCGTCATCGTCATCATCACTGATGATGTCATCAGTGACGTCACTGATTTCGTCGCCGGCATCCGCATCGTCATCGTCATCATCACAGCTGACATCGCAGATGACGTCACCGACATCTGCATCATCATCGTCATCATCACTGGTGACGTCATCAGTAATGTCACTAATGACGTCATCGGTATCCTTATCGTCATCGTCACTGATAACATCATCAGTGACGTCACTGATGACATCATCGGCATTGTCATTGTCACGTGACCCCCAGGTCACGTGACCCCCCCTCCGGTCCAGTTGACCCCCCCCAGTACCATTCCCTCCTCCTCCTCAAGAGCTGCGCTCTAATTCGGCGTTACAGGAAGTTGTAAACGGCTTTCACTTTTTTTATTGCATTCTTTATTCTTGATAAATAAAGGTTTCAGATAATTTTAGAGCGCAGCTCTTATGGTACGTTTACACCTGAGAAGAAATCCGCTGCCGCGGGAGTGGATCCGCTCTCGGCGGCGGCGGCGACAAGCGGGTTGTGTTTACATCTGTTTCCTTCGAGCGGCGGCGGCGGCGGCGGCGGCGGCGGCGCCGGCTGCGGCAGCTGTTCTCGTGACATCCCGTCAAATACGACGAGAAGGCGCGAGAGTTCCCACCTCGGCTGTCTCTCCCGGGCAAGGAGGTAGGAGGGGGCACGTTGCAATATTGGTGAAGCCTAGTCATAAAAAGTTTAAACGATTGTGTGCCCAGCGTGACCGCAGATCTCTCTGGCGATTGGTGCGCGTGACATGTCACGTGTGAGATGGATGGTTGCTTGTAGAAGGACTGCTTGCAGGCTTGCGCGCGCTCCGTCCGGTAGGTTTTATCAGATCGAGGGCTAGGCTGTGGTGTATTCTAGTACCCCATAGCAAGACGAAGGCTAGCTACGGTCACGTGATATGGTCACGTTGGCAAGGTAAGTGAGGATGGTAAGGAGGAAAATGAGAAAGAGGCGAGGCGTCAAGGGAGCATGGCTTGTGGAGGTTACGCGGCTGACGTCATGCCCTCTCCTACCCTTCTATTCTCCATGCTCCCGGGCGTCGCTGCTCCCCGGCTCAGTGCTCACCTGTTTTTGTTTTGGCTCGACGGGTAGGCGTGCGCTTCACGTTGACGCTGCACCAAACGGAAAGCACGGCGCGAAGCTGATGATGGACGATTACATAGATGAAGAAGAGGAGATCGCTATGATTCCCCTCTCGTCTTCGCTGCTTGCGATGGAGGAAGAGGAGCAGCGAGCGCCGAAAAAGCAGCTCCGCCGTCGGCGGTGGTGGGTTCGCCCATGTTTGCGAGACCGTGAAAGGACGGGACAAGCCAGCTGCCTCCTTCCTCGTCTTCGCTCGTATGACGAGGAGTATTACCGAGAGTAAGTGAATTTGGAATGTATACACTTGTGCGCTATGCCGCGAGTACGAGCATGTTGGCTCGAACGACGCTGAAAACGTTGCGTTCTTTGTTATGGCTCTCCTCAAGCAGTTTAAACAAACAACTCGGATAGTGTCCCTTCCTCGACTGTACGAGGTAACCATGCTCAATTGTCCCATGATGATTTGTGTACGGGTTTCTTACAGTTTTCTTAGGATGCCGCCGCGGTCCTTCGACACTCTTTTGAGCCTCGTCGGCCCCCACATCACGAAGGAGGAAACCCGATTCCGACGCCCGATCTCTCCCGATGATCGCCTGGCTTTGGCCGTCAGGTAAAGATTTGAAAATTTGGAAACGTACCATCGGCAAACCTCATCTCGACATGCGTGCTCGTAATTTGATGTCAATACTCATGAGAAGGACCTCAAGTGGTTGAAATTAAACTTCAGCTCTTCGCTGCGGCATGCCAGAGGTCCGATGTTGATTTGCCTATTTGGCCTACTACCCCCAAGAATTTCATCAGCATGCCACCTGGGTTCTTGCGAATGTGAACAAATAGTTATTTTTATTTGCAGATTCTTGGCAGCAGGTGAAACGCTGAGGTCCTCCTCATACAATTTCCTCTGTGGGAGAACAACAGCGTGCAAAATTGTGTCGGAGGTATGTGCAGCTATCTGGGACATCCTGAGTCCCATTTACGTTGTATGTCCGAAGACCTCAGACGCCTGGATCAGGGTATGGTTCAAACTTTCTGGTGTTGATATGCCGCTAGGTGCTGCTAGTGTCGCATTTGTAAACTTGGCGTCAGTGTCGTAGTATCAACGGGCACAAACAGAAATGAAGTCCCATTTGGCTTTCGGTCGTTCCATGAATATCGCAGTTGCGGAATGTGGCCCCCCATTCAAGTCTGTTCCTCTTCCTGGGAGTGGAGATTGTGCTAATTCCATTCCCTTTAACTTCTTGTAGTGGAGAGACTTAGCCCATTCCCTCTCCAGACGTGGCTGGGCGATCCTATTTCATTCCTTTAATTCTTCAATATGAAATAATGTCCATGGTGTTTGTACTCCTTAAGTTGACAAAAACGAAAGCATTATACGAAAGAAAGCAATAGGGATAAGTTGAATAAATTCCAATATAACAGCGAAGCAGCATGTCCTTATTGGCAACTTCAAGCTCTGTATACAGCTGTCATGTGATCATGTGTATTGATACACGAGATCTTGCATGCAGAAGCCACATGCAGGCTATAACTTGCGCACATTCTTTAACGTACATCCAAAATTCACTCTCACTACATGAAAGTATTTCTATTCACCACAATATACTGCTTATTCATACCTAACCTTCTGTTGTAGGATAGAAAATGAGAGTTTTTGATACAAACTTAACCCTTTTATAACGGTGGATGAAAGACAATGGCACCGCAAATATAAAAGCTTGCAAGAAAAGACTGATGACCGACGCAAAGTGCATTGTGACAGTTCGGAAGTTTGAATATAAAAGCGGTGAGGTGTTCGAAATGTACGGTCTATATTAAGATGCGTCTGTGCTTTAGGATATTTTCATATTTCCAGAGCTCTCGAAGTGCATCGCACTTGTCTATGATGTGTGATCAAAATAAAACAAAATATTGTGCGAAAAAAGGGGACGATGTGGCGAAAGCGAAGTGCTTAAAGGGATGGTGAACCGAAATTTTGATTTCAAAAAAACAATGCAGGAGATGTAGGCGGGGCGCTACAATCCCTACAATACTACTCGCGATAAGATATCTCAAGTGGACGGCCGTATTTTTGAAAAAAGAGGTCGAGATTGAACCAGGCCGACGAGGCGCGTGACGTCAAGATACCGTGCTTCCTCCTCTCTTTGCTTGGCTCCCTCAAGGCCGCGAGGCAATGAAGACGCGAGGCCGTTCCCTCTCCTTCTCAGAGAAACATGACGTCAACATTCCTGCCAAATGCTCCTCCTTTTTTGAAAAATATGGTCATCCGTTCGAGATATTGCTGTATGAGTGATGTTTCTGTGTTTGTAGCATCCCGTTCCACGCTTTTGCAGCGTGTTTTGGGGAATTCAAATTTCGGTTCAGCATCCCTTTAAGATCTAAACACAGTTTTTCTTGTTTAAAAGTTTAAAAGCTTGTCAAGCCTTTCCCTTTGCTCCTAGTGAAATGTAAGATCCAACCGATATGTTCCCTAGATCTATTACAATACCCCGCCATAGTGACATATAGGCAGTGCAAGTGAAATGATCACATACTTTACTGTGCTTTTATTCATGACCACTTGCTTTACCCCTTGCACGGGGCTGGCCAATTTCTTAGTGGCTGCTGTTGCGACGTTTGGGGCGTGAAAACGCGGATTGATACACTACTGACAAATTGAAGTTTTCCCCGGCTGCTCCTTCTATATCTTGGTGCTGTCAACGTTGCAACTGCACGATGACCCGCTTGTCTTTGCACAATAAGCCCCTTCATCAAAGAATGCACCTATACTTTGTTTCACTAGTACGAGCCAAGGCAAAGCTACAGAGTGAGCCTCACGTTTTAAGCCTGCCTGTGGTACACGTGAGCTTGTGCTACGCAAGTGTTGTTCAAGGCAACGCTTTTACTTTGCTCACACTTATACATGGCTTGCACGTTGCGTCATCGGACCGTGCTGGTGGTCATTCCAACTTGTTCCAGCTGAGAAAAACTAATCTGACGGTGCGAAGTGCCCGCTGCTGGAGGTATGCGCTCAGCAGCAGCACAGATAACACCAACATGGCCACTGATAGGACGTCGGTGCTAGTCATGTATAGACGATTGCAAGCAGGGCAACTGGCCATCACCATTTCTTCGCTTGTATGTGAGTAAAACTTGTACACGTGCAGCATGCGCATGAAGCCTGTCAAAGCAACCTCCACGTGCATGCTGCACGTGTACGCAGATGGTGCATCAGCCGGAACTCCATTTCGGAATTAAAGGGTCCAATCACACTCCCATTCCTCCCTCCCTCCACTACCCCATTCCATTCTCATTCCATTCCGGATCTATGGAAATGTGGAAAAGTTCCAGAACCATTCCAACTCCGGGGTCGCAACCCTGATGGATATCAAGTTGATGGGTTTGAATCTCAGCCAATGTGCTTACAATATCATTTCGGCTTATTGCAAAAACTTCACCTTATGACCCTGGTTTCAGTTGCACGTCCAAAAGCACCCGTGTGGTTGAAATGCATCGCAAGTTTATGCTGGTGTGCACCAAATACTTTATTTGAGTGACATTTAACCCCCAAATTTTGTTTTTCAGGTTGCTGGCGAGTTCGAGGAAAGATGGAATTTGCCACATTGCTTGGGTGCGATTGACGGCAAGCACGTCAGCATCGAGTGTCCTGCAAAGTCCTGCAGCCAGGACAGAAATTATAAAAATGGCTTCAGCAAGTCGTTGCTTGCTGTTAGTGACGCCTACTACAGGTGAGGCTTCCTGTGAAATATGATGAATGTATGATAGTTATTACATACCTTATTAATTACCTGGCAACATCAGAGGAGCTAATAAATATCTCGGCTATCAGTGAGATGACATAAAACACAAATTTGACTATGCCTCTCCTATATGCATTTGCAAAAAAGGCATCCTAGGTGGTGCCCCACGCGTACAAACATGTACAATACACGCGTGAGCACATCAGTAGTAGGCTTGCAACTGGCTACTTCCCTAAAGCACTGCATGCAAGACTGCGCATTGCAGAATTGCAAGAATGTGCACAAAGCTTGTGCAATATGAAACATTTATTTTTGTTGTAGTTTTTGCATGGAGTGCATTATTTGTTCGCCGCTAAGCGGAGGGATGGTTCATCAGCGACTCCCCACTCCCCCCGCCCACATACACACAGAATTCTCTTTTCTGTACAGGGTGGCCAGAAGAAGCGAAGTTGCTTAGGTGGCTGCTGTTCAAAGGTTTATGGGTGGTCATTTCCAATTTGCACAGGTTTATCATTTGAAAAATGTAGAGGTTATAGTTACTGAGCACTTACTGCCGTTGCTGCTACAGAAATGAGGTGAATTGGATGTTGTCACGTGAAAACCGTGCAGTTCACATTTACTGATTAGTCTTGACAATGCTTCTGATATTTCACATGTTTCTTTAAATGATATGGAGACCGGAAAGCTAAATGCACTGATGTGTTTTCTCTTTTTTATGCATATTAGGTTCCTGTATGTGGAGATTGGCTACCATGGCAGCGAGTCGGATGGAGGCATCTTCGCACGTAGCGAGCTCCAGCGCCGCATTGTCGCAGACCAACAGGGCATTCCCCCAGATTCTAGTCTAGCCAACATTGGCACAGTGCCTTATTTCTTGGTTGGGGACGAGGCCTTCCCACTGAAGAAGTACCTTATGCGACCTTATCCAAGAAAAAGCAAGTGACCTCTTCTCTCTCTCTTGTCTCCGTATCCCCCCCCCCCTTTATTTATAGATAAAAAATGTGCCATGCTGTGCAAATCTAGGTCACAAAGAATATATTTCTTTGCTGAGGATATAACCAGTTCCCAAGGCAATGTAACAGTGCAGAATAGCCAGCTTTTGATAGTTTCACAAAAACCGAAAGGACACACAACTACATGGTGGAAGTAACCTTCAAAAGTTAATTTGTGGAGGAGTGACACACCGGGTAAAGTGATGGTACATAATGAGGGCATGCCTGGAGATGAATGTGGTGTAGTGGGCATTTTACGTCTCTCACAATCGTGGCGAATTCCACTCGTCGTTTTGGAGCGATTCGAAAGCGATCCTCGCTCTCGCCTTTAGACCGACAAATGCTAGCTCGCGCTTGTCTGTGCATAAAGATAGCAACAAAAGAGCGCTGAAAATCCATGCCAAATCGTCCATTGGAATTCCCCATCAGTCTTATTTGCATTAAATGGCTTTGCATATGTTTCTCTTGAGCTAATATGAAAATGACTCTGTGCTGCAGGCCTACAGCCCACACGCACTGGAGGCCAGACAGACGACACTGACCAAGCACCTAATGAAGAGAGGCCATCTGGGGAACGCGAGGCATGCAACCGGCGGCGCATCTTCAATTACCGGCTTAGTAGGGGCCGAAGGGTTGTAAAAAAGGCCTTTGGCATTCTCGCCCAAAAGTGGCGCATTCTGCGACGCCCTTTTAGGGCGAACACAGAAAACACAAGCAGATATGTGGCGGCTTGCATTGCGCTTCATAACTTCCTGCTCAAGGAATCGCAGGTTTCCTCAACGTTGCCCACCCGGCACTGGCGACACTGACGACTGGGAAGGCAATGAAAGAGCTGGCAGTTGGCGTGCAGAGCCCAACTCCACTGCTGCACTCACCAGCCAGTCAAACACACGTGGTCGTCCCACCAGGTAGGACCAGAGCAGGCAGAGAGGCCAGTTTTCACTTTTCTGTACATGTCATTTCGGCTTCAATGCAGTGCAGCAACATGCAGGTACCCATGACCTGTTCCCTAGTCCCATTTACATGTTGTCACTAATCTAATGTCGAGCATATTTGTGGCAGAGGTATCATGTCAGCTGTACAAAAAATAAATAGATTTTCACAGGTAGTGTTTTAGTCAAGTTTGATTACTCTTAATATGAAAAACTCGTAGCATAGTATATTCTCTTAATTTCAATTCCCACAGCTGAAGTACATTAACAAAAAATTTTACATGTCGACCATTTGCATCTGGATACACAATAATAGTTACAGTGCTGAGTGGAAGTAAATCGCAACAAAAAGGCATTGAGGAACGTTTGTGCAAAGTGCTAATTTGAAGTTTTGCTTACAAAAAATTGCTGCTACAGGCATCGGCATATGCAACTACATTTGCGCTACACTTTTTTATGGCAAGGGTAATTGTGCAAAAGTCTATGCACCATCAGCTCGTTCCATAGCAAGTACTTTTTTCAGTTTTGTTGAAACAAGGTATTTGTTATGTTTGCATAAAGTGACTAGCAATACCAGAGATGACATTTATGTTGTGCAAAAAGCTTGTTTAAAGCAGAAAAATGTAGACTTCATTCGTTGTGTTGTGGAATTCATGCATGATTGCATCCTTAAGGTTCAATGACACTGTCTCAAATCTTATCCACATTATTGTGGTGTATCCAGCTTGGCCTATGCCATGAGGGACAAGCTGTCCCACTACTTCATCACTGCTGGGAAGGTGCCATGGCAAGACATGGTGTAATGCCTTGGCAGGAACAAGTAGGTGGGATTCTTCATTTATCCAGTTGCAAATCGAAATCAAGCACTGATCTCAAATGTTGGTAGCTGTGCAGGTGATGCATGCTTCAGGAGAAAAGTGGCGTGCAATAAAATATACAGTCAGTGACACACACACACAGTGCTGACTTTCAACTCAAATTGTCATTTTATTAGATATATAAGGAATGATAAAGATATATGGGGAAGTAACAGAAAGATAGATGAAGGTATGACACCAAGTTGTCTTCTTTTTCATTTTCCGCTTATTTTTTTTTTTAATGGGAAAGCATTAACTGTCTCATGGGGCGAGCTGACATCATCAGCTTTGAAACCACGGCACCTCAGGGTACGGGCAGAGCGCGCCGCCCTGCCGTCGACACAAATACGCTGCAGACGAAATAGGGAAGCGGAATAATGACGTAGGTACATGCTTGCGCATTCACAACTCATAAGCAGTGTTTAGGTGTACCTTGAGCCTTTTTTATTATGGGATATCTAACTCTTAATAAAAACACTGACATGAAAAATGTGGTGTTCAATAAACTACCTATCTTGCCTTTTTTTTTTTTTTTGCTTGACACAAGATAAACGTAACAATAAAAACATTGGAAAAAGAACACACACTCATGAAGCACAGACACTTCTTATACGTAGCAGAGCATGATACAAAAGCAAGATCAAGGTAAACTCCACTCTGTCTCACTAAAACTGTGCAGTGCAGCCAAGCTGCAGCCCCCGTCAGCCAATCAGAAGATCGAAGGTCACCCTGCACAGTCACTCCGTGGGGTATAAGTGTGCGGTTTTTCTTTATTGGCCTACGGGGGCTGTCGCTTCGGCTGCACTGCACGATTTTAGTAGGACTGGGTACAAGCCTTTTGCCAAGTTTGGCATGCATTGGCTTAAAACTATGGAATGCGGTTTGCAGGTTCGGCCGTGTTCTCTTTCATCACAGTATACATTAAATTGTGAATGTTGTGCATTGTGTCCAGCTGCTGATCTGCACCTAGTGACCGCAGCTGCTCTGCCAGTGACATGCAAAAGTGATGTACAGCATCAGGAGGGTGCCTCCTCTCTTCTCTATTGAGCTCGATCTGTCTCAAACAGGCAGCAGCAATTACAGCTGATGGCGCACTGCTTTGTTGTGGGCTGAAAAAGGTGTTTGGTGTGAGAACAGATTACAAATAGTGCAATCATGCCATACCTTTGTTGTGGTTGCTTGTTTCCGTTTTTTTTGTTTTTTTTTTTGCAACTTTCCGTGGTCTTCGGGCCCTTAACATAGGGAAATGCAGTGGTTTGAGAAGCAATAAAAGACAAACTTTTAAAGGAGAGGGAACACCGATAGTGTCACTGCGGTCGAAAGTGGTGCAAAAGCATTTCCCCCTCCCCCCCTCCCCCGACTTTTCAGAAGTAACGTTTACATTTTATAAAGTTGGTAAAGCGGTCATAGCTGGACTCGGGTTGCATAAAAACAATAGTCCACTTGCCTCTCTTCATCAGAGTTCTCCTGCTCCAGCAGCGTTTCTCTCATTTGTTGGGACCTGGAAGCACGAAAGAAAATGGTAGCAAACTGTATCTGCTTCACACAATAATGGATAGAAGGAGCGCCTCTTTAGGTCCTGTAAAATCTTCAAATTGATCGTTGATATTAGCATATGACTAACATCTAATTTGAGAGTGGTGTGCTAGTTTTTTTTCATTGAACGGACAACATAAGTGGTTCTTTGTTTTGCATATTGAGTGTCGATCGTGGAGTAGCAGGCTTTCAATTAGCGAAACCAACGCCTTTACTACGATTCACAATTTGTGTTCACTAAAAGCAAAGGAAAGAGCATGAGGGCAGAGCTTTGCACAGTAGTTTGTTTGTGTGAGCGCTTGCACAAAAGGCACATTCAATGTGGATGCAAGGCTGCGCGCTTGCATCCACATGCTGAGTATAACGTCTCAGCATTTTTGCAACAATACCAGTCCCAAGAGAGCACATAAGCCTACGTTACATTTATTTGTTTCATTTGTTTACCTTGAACTCTCTTCAGTTATATGCGGTTCCGTGGAGCTGCTGGATGTACCAGCTGCACCCAAGTCCTGGTAGCTGAGAAACGGGCTGTCGGCCTGTTCTTCCCCAACGTGCCGTTGGTCAGCGATGCTGCCGTCGGACGACAGCGAGCTGCTGTCTCTAATAAACACAAATGCTTTCAAATCAGAAAATGCCTTCGACTGAATTTGCATTTAAAGAAAAAGTAAGCTAAGCAATGACATGCATGACTTAGCACAGTACACGAACTAGAGCGTAAGGCATCACAGCTGTGCAGACACGTAGCCGGGGGGGCGGCATGCCCCCCCCCCCCCCCGAAATTTTCCATTTTGCTGGGATATCCTTTCCCCCCTCCCCCTCTCACAGCATATTGTCATGGGTAGCCCCCCCCCCCCCCCGAAAAAAAAAACCCTGGCTACGTGCCTGCAGCTGTGTACCACTCTAATAGCAGTACGCCCACATGAGCACTGTACACCAGAACGGAGCAGTAATTTGCAGCAGTCTGTGCTCTCAACTTGTAATAATTTCCATTTTATATGCTCAATATCTTTGTATGCTTAGTTTTTGAAGTAGAGATCGGCATTATTAATGCCAGAAACATACCGTGCCTCTGTGCCCAATAAGATGTTAGTCCGCAGGCTGCAATGAAAACCGATTCGTCGTAAACATGGTGGAAAGATGTTTAAAGTAATGCGCAAATCTATTTCACACAACATACCCTTGAATCAGCGAAACTGGTTCAAAACTGCTGCACGGACCAGCCTGAGGCGTATATAAAAATGTGTTACTTACATCGGAGCTTCGGAGACCCGCTCCATCACTTCCATCATTTGTTCGAAGTGTTTCCACTTCACCGTGGGCACGTCCGCTGCGCCGGCGCCACTCTTCATGCATGTGGGTATTCCATTTCGCACCTTCGTGAACGAGTCCTTTAAATTTTTAAATTTATTTTTGCACTTCTGTCCTGCAAACACAACATACAGTGGTTTTACAAGTGCTGTTCGGCACCGACGATAGTTGTGGCGCACATGACCGACGAGACCTGGCACCGTTTTTACAGCACAAAAGAGTACTTGTCATTTTCGCTGCATTTTGCGATTTCTTCGTCGCTGGTGTGCTGCGTTCATTTCTTCAGTTAACCGACACGCCCGCATTGCTTCCTTGGCTTCGGCGACACACCGGTACATTGTTACAAGAACAAATGACTAATATCGGGGTCGCATGCTAAGGTAGCTGGCAATTCGCAAGATAATGCCAAATAGGGGGGAAGCTTACGGCGCACTGCAGTCTAAATCCGCTCCCCCTAAAAATTGCAAGATTTTGAAAG